TCCTATAATCTTTGTTCATAAGTTAACTCCTTATCACTCTCACTCAAGAGACCGTAAGTAATTTCGTGTATAAACGTTTCCGCTTCAATGCGGTTCCCACGACTATTTACTGATATCAGACAATAAACCAGGGATTAAGTCTATTGGGTGGCCTCTTTACCTATATAAGACTCTTCTTTGCTTTCACCCTTTCCCTTCAAACGACAGATTTTGTTAATATTTGAGTTTTCTCTCACGAAGGGAAAAGGACAAGATTTCACTATTGGACGAATCGAAGCTAAACTTTTCTAGAAATTTTTACAATCGAGTGGTGAACGTGATCGTGAATTTCAATGTTTTTTTTTCCTACGTTATCTCATTGGTCTAAATTGACTCACGCCACCTTCTCAACCAATTAGATGCAATCTAACACCAGGCACGACCGAGTCACCCAACACAGCGGTCAAACGTCTACGTATGTGCGAACGTTGTAATGGCTGCGTTCATGCATTCATACGCGAATTACAAACAGTAACACAAGCCAGTAAGTCATGATGTTATGAAAGCATACAACTTTCTTGGTCAAGCTTAAAACATGGTGTTAAATCAACAAGATACCCGTACCTAAGTGAGCTTTGTGTTCGAAAAGTCGAGCTCGCCTTTACCTTACTTTTGTTTCCTGATACATATTTCTTTGAACGTTTCAATTTTTCGAGCAGCGTTTGTTCCTTGTGTTTTACTTTGAAATTCTGCGCGGAAATTGGCGCGCGGCCGTCCAGTATTGATACCCTCGCGCATGGGCATAGTTTGACCGCTGCGTTGGGCCACTCGCGTTTTCCCGCGCTTGGGTCAGTTTGCACGATTTGAATACAACGAACCCCAGTCACGCGGAGAAATTATCTTAAGTCCCACTGGTATAAAATGTTTTCATTTATCGCTTAAATAAGCAAGAGAACTCAAAAACAACCTTGGGGAGTAATATGAAGAGAAATGATAATGGAGGAAATTCGCAAGATGAGAGATGGAAAATGGTGAGAAGTGATAAGATGTACTGGCATTGGTCACAAGCATATCTCTTTCTATCTCTGATTGTAAATCGTTTTTTGTTTGTGACCTCAAAAAAAAAAAGATCTCTAATGAAATGGAAACTTTTTTTAAAAAGACATTTCCATTTTTGTGGTTACAATCATTCAAAACGATGTAAAGATATTTCATCTCTGGTTTATAATCATGATTACTTTATCACAAAGCTCTAAGGGAAATAATTCACATATCTCCAACAGCGGTTGAGAAAACTTTTTTTTGGTTTCTTGGAAGGAGTAAAATTTTAAGATAGCATTGGTTCAAGATATCCTGGGTACAATTACAGTCAGTGCAGCAAAGACTCAAATTATCCAAGTTAATGGCTGGGAGTCAAATAATTGCATGGGGTATGTAAAGATAAAGTCTGCACACAAGCCAAAAGGCCCACTCTGCTAAAACTCATCCTGACTTCCATGGCAGTGAATATAAGTATAGCTTCTCCCCTTGGATGAGATGCCAGCTGTCCAGGTCACCTCCAAACAATTTATGCAGTTTCCTTGACAGTTCCCTAATACCCATTAATTCTCCTAGATTGAGGGAGGTACTTAAGGAGTTACAATGGCATGTCCATGGTCAAACTTTTCGCAATTTGAAAGCCATTTTCAACCAAGTAACTCTTTGGAATCTCAAAACATGACAAGCATCTTGCTTTCTTGAATAATTTTAATAGTGGGGATTAAAATAAGTTTGTTTTGGGAGCATACTTCTCCATTAAAAGTTCTGAGTTCAAACTAGAAATCAAAAGTTAACTCTTTTACAATTCAACATGTGTTTATAATGATTTCCCCTTTAAAAACTTTGACACATTTCAGAAATTCTAAGACATTACTTAAGGCATTACAGAGGTAAACTAACAGCGAGCAAACTCCTGACAAACTCTAAGTACATAAATGCACTTGATATTGTTGGCATGGCGACCACATTCAATAAACCCTTGTGTATTATACACTCAGAATGCAGTAATTTCAAATTCAGTATAAAATGGGGGATAACCTTATACTGAGCCATTTTGTTAAACAACGGCTTACCTTTGTTTAAATAATCATCCCATAAAACAAAGCCCTGCAATACATGTATATTAAACATCTTTCAATGAGTCTTTCAAGGCTTTTTCCAAAAGAGAAACATACTTTGGATGCACATGAGTTCCATCAAGATGATACTCACTGTTGAATTCACAAGTTTGCTTTGCAAGTAAAACATCCAAGAGCTCTAGCCATTGCAGTCCACTGCAACTTTCAACAGCTTCTTTAAGTTTCTCATTAAACTGAAGCACCACATTTCGTGTCTCCTTCAGCACAGGAAGTATAGGATGAACAAAAGTTACAAAGCCATGACGTTCATTCTGCTCTTTAAGAAAATCAATATAAATGCTGACAATTGTCTCAATCGCTTCTTCTACAGAGTCATAATTACATTTGTCAACAGCCCTTAGCAGACCCTCTCTGCAATCAATTTCTCCAATGTTGAAAATAACAGTTGAATCATTTGGCACTTCTTTCAATGCATTCAAGAGAGCAAACTTGGGGTAAAAGGAGCTTTCTTTTCTAATGTGCCAAATTTTCACACCAGTGGCAAGCAATGGATGAATGACATGTGGTTTCTCCTGGTAATTGATGGTCCTCCAGGCAGGAGATATACAGTGGCTATCAGAAGCAAAGTAAATGAAATCTGGGTTTTGAGGTAGTGGAGAGAATGGCACTTCCATCACAAGGCTGATGCAAGAAAAAAACGCAGCTTCATTACGTAGGAGTGTGAGATGTAACCCTCTATCCTTGTGTAGTTTGTCCAAAACAGGTATGAAAGCCTTTGTTGAATTAAGTGCACCTTTTACAAAGAGTATCTTTACAAGAGTAAACAACAATCCCAGCTGTTGAAACTCAGAATCAAGAGCTTTCCCAATATTTTCCTGGTTCTCAAAGTCTGAAGGAATGCACAGTGTGGTGTTGTTGAGGTAAATTTCTTCTGTGATCAGCTGTAGAACTGGTATGAAATGCGAGCAAGAAACCCTTCCAATTTGTAGACTGCCATTTCTAATCAAGAAAGAGCGGGCTTCTAAAAATGCTTCATTGTGCTTGCTGAGGATTTCATAAGTGTGAACAAGATAAAGGCAGATGCCTGGATCATGCGGCGATAGCTCATATGCACGAAGCACAAGCTGCAAAGTTTCCTTTAAGGCACCCCACTCACGCAGAATGTCAGCTATGAACATAAGTGATTCTGATGTACACCAGACTTCACTTAGCTGATCTTCAAACACACCCATTCCCCCTGGAGAACTCATCAAATTAGCAAGTTCTTTTCTAACATCATGCTGGTGTTGGCCACCAGATTGAACCAGTAGTGACAACAAGATAACTATCGCTTCCTGTAAGTCATCCTGACTGGTACCAGCGGTATGGATTGCAAATCCTTTCAAGCTCTCCATGTGAGTGGAATCTTCCTTTAGCACATTTGAAAATAGATCTATAGCCATTTTAATGTTCCCTGACTTGGCACAGACCTTGGCAATAGCTGCTTGAACATCATGAATTTCATGTTGAGAAGCTCCAAGAGATTCCAAGTGACTCATGTATTTCACATAGGCATTAGATGCCTCTTCCAGTTTTCCCACCGCAGCCAAACAATTTCCATGGATGAAGCACAATGACGGGTCAGTGGAGTTAACATGAATAGCTAGCTCAATGTACTCCAGAGCTATCTGTGGACGGCCAGCTTCAAGGTAAATTTCAGCCAAGCAAGACAGAGGAGAAGAATTTTCTTCATCCACTGAAAGTGCTTCAGCACAGATTCGAGCTGCATTTCTCAAAGTACCCATCTTTTTTCGTAGATCATTCAAGCAGAAACTAGTCTTAGTTTTTTCACTGATTTTCGATTCATTCAACTCCACTTCAGACGAAGACTTTGTACATGTAGGTTCGCCATTCTTGACAAACATCCCAGGTCCCTTTTGATGAACAGACGAAATACTAGAAGCAAGAGAAACTGGAGGGTGCATAACAATTCTTCGTCTCTCCTTTGGCACGGGAAGTTGTTTTAAAACGACAAATAAATCCATGCCGTCTTTTACGACCGACGTGACGTCTTGCTCTAGAGACAGTGTGGATTTCCTTGTGTTCACGAGTGTCAAGTTTTCGAGGTTTAGTTCGAAGAGAGATGCATGGTTAGCCTTGAGAGCCTCAAAAAATATATTCATCACTAGCTTCAGCTTTTCTTTTTTGCTTTTATTCCATCTAAAAACCATGCTAAACTCCGGAGGACCATCAAAGTGAACGTAGAACTTCATGGTTCGACTCCACCAAGTAGCACTGCAATCAACGAAGAGATATTTCCTGACACATTTCCTTCCGTGATCTTGTACCCAGTCCAAAAGGAGGGAGAGGTTACTCAGCAACTTGAATAATGCTTAAATAAATAAAGGCGAGCATGATACGTCCAATTTTTTGGTTGATGTTGTTATTGTTGTTTATTTTATTTTTTTTGTTAACAAGAAATTGAATATCATAATTTAGACCTGACTTTAAGCAGAAATTACTATCGTATTATTTGTTCTTCGACTGAAACCTGAAGTGTACCCTCCAAGCTATTTTGAGTCAAAGAAGTGAGAGTTTTATCCTTTTAAGCAAGAATTTTGTTTTTCCATTTTACATGTCGATACTAAGCTTGTCACAAGTTACTGTTATTACCATCATTAATATCATATAAGAGAATATCTCTTGCCTTCTTTCGATATTTAAAAATTATCCCCGAATAAATGACAGCAAAATGAACAACGACAAAAACAATGTCTACATAAGAAAAAACACGAAGCAACAATGTTATGTGACTATGGCCCGCTACTATGTATTATTCCAATAATCATCAACAATCATCAAAATTGACTCATCAAGGAGTCTGATAAACGAGATTGTTACGGTATAATTTAACTGGCGAAAGAATTCTATATTCCTACAGACTACTTTATTAGACAACAAGTCCCAGGTTATAATTCGTATTAAAAAGTGACTACTTTTAGCAATATAATAATAATCCACTTAGAACCTGCTTAAGCACAGTACAAACTATAACTGAATCAGTTCACTACTAACACCAACTCAATGTTGTCTTCAAATCTCCTCGAGATGCACAATAGTTCACTGTCATTAAAGCTTTCCAGACAGTCGATCTCTGCCGACAGCAGCAGCTATTACTCGCATACGACTAAGTACTTATATACATCCACAACGTGTTCTAAATCTTTTCAGAAGTCTAAAACACAACTATTCCGGTAGATTTTCTATCTGTAGGTCAAATGAAATTATTTCGTAATACAAATGGTATTCTGGTAGATTAAATCATGAGTGCATAACGTAATAGAATGCTGCAGACAATTTCTTGGTTTGACATCCGAAAGTTCGAGTAACCACATTGCCATGGCCAGGCATTCTAGAAATTTCCGGAAACAACTGTTTTTATTTCACAACCTATAACAGTGATCTACCCAGTAATTCTGTACTAATCCGTATTTCCGAATTTTTTTAATTTAATTTTTTTTACAATGGAGCCTCATTGCCGTTTTGGGGTGGATGAACCACCAAAGCGGAAATGCCAAGATCGTTCATCGAAATACTTCCGGAATTTCTAGAAGAATTCGCACTCTGCCTGTTGTCCTGTTGACGCCGACTATCTTGGCTTTCGTCGTCACCTTCCTCAAGGGCGAAGTCGACAGCTCCACTGTCTTTGACAGCTCCTGTCACGGACGGCATCCCGATCCGTCCACTTTGAAGCTGCTGCCTCATCATGTTCCTTCCCACCAACCCTCTGAGTTCGCCTTGTAAATCGTTAAGAGGAAGAAGCATCGCCAAGCAACACGACATGGACCATTTGGGATTTTTGCGCCATTCTTTCAAAAAATTATAAAGGTAGACGGAGTACTGAACTGAAAAAAACAATTGTGGTGCAAAAAGCATATATTTATGGATCCACACAAACTTACTTGAGAAAATTGCTTACCATTTACTTAACAAATCAAAACAAATAAGTAAGGTGCAGTAACGTTGGCTGAAGTGTTGGCCGAAGGATTGAAGTTTGAAATATTGGGCGTTACATGGCAATCGCTGTTATTATATGAAAACAGTTTTTGGGACGATCTCGGAATTTCCTGGGTAGATTTCTTGCAGCTTCAGTATTTTCTTTTTCATGAACGCCTTTCCAATTGGCTCATGACAAGAGTACATTTTACGCGGAGACACTGAATGGAGTAATAGAAATACACTATTATGCATCCCATGCATCCTGAAAACTTTTTCCTTTAAAGTAGAGGATGTAGCTGCTTCGAATTCTTTGCTCACAAACAATCTCACTATAAAATTTCTTTGCATTATTTTTCATCAAGAAATTTGGCAACATATTGCAATGCACGGCATTTTCCAAGGTATGCCAAGTGCTGGTACTGGATCAGTTCTTCTATGTACGCTTTTGGAGATAAAACTGCGATTGGTAGAATGAGTTGAAAGTTTCGTGACAAAACTTTCGTCTAAACTTTTTTATTGATAAGTGAACTTCCTAACCTTATGGGACTTGTAGAATAGGTTAGCTTTGTAAGTGCGTTAACTTACCGACTAGTAAACCAATCACCAGCGTATTGGCTCCAACCACTAACAAATTGAACGTAACAGTGTCAACATATGGATCAATTGAAGCTGGAACATTCTCCTTGGGGATCTTACTGACGGCGCCGATGCCTAGGTTTACGAACGTAACTGCAAGGGTTATAATCATCATTTTATTTTCAAATGGGTCTTCAACTGGGCTTACATAGGCAAATAAAATGCCATACAGTCCCGAAATCACACATGCCAGGCCAACATAAGCCCTGCTTTCTCCTCCTATGAGGATCAATCCAGATGTTAAGATGACTTTACGCACCATCTCGACGAGTTCCCAATACCAAGAGGTGCCGGTGTAATTCTCGGAAAGAAATCTCAGTCCGGCTGCAAGTTCACTGATGTATCTTTGTTGTTCTCTTGATTCGTTTTCCGTAACCTTTACTTTTTTGTGTTTCTTCCAAAGGACTAGGTAAGAAACCAAAGGGATAAGTAAAATGTATACAACGGCAAAATATGCAACGTTGACCAAGCGCTTGTACCTTGGACTGCGACACTCAACTGTGAAATCAGATTTGAGATAAGTAAAGCAGCCGTAACCTTTGTCAGTAAAACAGAGCTCCCGGCAGGAGAGTGGGAGAACATTTGCAGTCTTAGAACAAGTGCTAAGGTAGGTCACGAATAAGAAGAAAAACAAATTTCTGTAGACAAGTTCTTTAGTCTGAGAAACTTGTTTGGATTTATCGTCATCTTCAAGCTGGTCGTTCCTGAGGATCATAAACTTTCGCACCCAATAAGCTACCACCGCAAATACAATGGCCCCAATGTTGATGACCAAAATGGCAAACAAACTCCCAAACGCGTCTATCTTAAGTTGCGGCAAAAGGCAGTGCATTGGCGCCATTTGAAGGACATTAAATTGAAGAATTTCGGAATACCGTGCAATAACAGACAAGGAGTCTGGCCATGAAATGAATGAAAAAGCATCCAGTAGTCCAAATGTAACTTGATAAAATCCTATGATTATCTTCAGCCTAGCCAAAATGATGTCGACCAGCGGACGCTGGTTGTTGCTCTGTCTGTTCTTCTTTACACTTGTCCATACGATGACCACAACTAGAATCAGCAACAACGCGATGGTGATGGCTAACTGTGCTCCCATCCAAGACTTTGATGGACACTTCTTACAAGTCTGAAGTCGTTTGTGATACCCAGGGCTGCAAACCTCGCAAAGCGGGCCCTCGTAGCCTTGTTTGCACGTCGAATCCAGACCACCGAGGCAAGATTCCTTTCTTGGGCATTCGTAGGCTAACGGTAGATCAAAACTATACTCAACTTCATTATTTTCGATGGAAGGCTTCGAAGACCGCAGGTTGAGAGTAAAGTTCTGGTACATGCCTTTGTACACATCATTATACCACCTCCACCAAAATCCTGGTTTGAGTGTGACGTAGTCGTCTATACACAGGAAGCCTTCTTTTTGACAAGCCTTACAGCCCTTAAACAGGTGGGTACGATAAAATCCTTGTAGACATTTACAAGCACGGAATCCGGCAAAAGAGTTTGTATCCGTTCCTGTAAAGAAGAGTTTGATCGTTATAAGATGACATCAGAGATGCATAGATGCCTGAACCATTTTAACTGTATCTGAGTTGGCTGGCTAAACAAGTTAATCTCGGAGTGGCGTTCATGTATCAGTGATCATATTTTTGTCTTAGCTAACTGAAAAAAAGGAAGCATCGAAAAAAGAATCTAATTAACTGACTGTTAATGCTAGGTGAAGAATTCTTCTGCAAAAACCTTTCTTCGTATGAAAAGTTTGATCTTGTTTGGGTTAGGGTTGAAATTTTATAGTAGACGTTGTTACATATATATCGACAGTTGCATATCTTTTAGCTTCTGCTACCTTGGGGGCATGCGACACAATCCAATGCTCGCCTTCCTGGCTTTTTATCGAGTGAAACAAATGTCCCGTTCGGGCATCTTTTACACTGGTCGCTGACGTATGCTAAGGTATCGGAAAAAAAGCCTCCTGAAACAATAAGCCATGAAAAGAAAAAAAAAAGCAATTTAGAACCTTAACTCTCTATTCAGGTGTTAAACTTTAATGCTTCTGCTTCTTTTGATACATTAAAAGTCAGGTTCAGGCATTTTAACCCGGCGTCCAGCAGGCTAACCTTGAGATCACTACATGTATTCTACAGGTGCGTTAAATTCGCTAGTTAATGTAACGTACTATTTTAGAGATACACAATATTTAGAAAATAGATTCCATGTTGTCGTGCATCTGTTCAGTAATAGATCACAGCTGAAGTCAAAATGTGGTTAGAACAAAAAAGTGGCACACGAGGCGCAGCCGAGTGTAGCCCTGATGTCCTTACCAAGTTTTATCTACTCCTGAACAGACCAACGGAAATATGGAATCTATTTGTTTATATACTAAAGAAGGTGAACGATTGTTGAGGGCGATGTTATCTATACGTCCGTCCTTCAATAGATTATAAGTAGGGAACCAATCAAAAGTGTGTGGGTATTTCAGCTTATTATATAAAAACTAATGGCAACATTAACGAATGATGATTTTTTTTACTGTAGCAAATTCCGAAGGAAACTCTCAAGAAATAGTCTGCATAGTTTTGATTTAATTCTCACAATGGATCATTTTCTCAATTAAAAAAGGAACGTAATCGATCACACTCTTACCTGGAGGACATTCTGAACAACTCGTGGAACCTTTATCTGCAGATTTAACAAATGTTCCAGCAGGGCAAGGCAAAAATTTGGAGCTATCTTGTGACCACTGTGCAAAACCGGATTGCTCCAAAACCCTCCGTAACACACCCATCATGTCTTCGTCTATGTCATCGAACTCTATATACTCTTCATCGCTTTGTCCAACGCCTCTTGATATTTAAGGGAGATAAGCAAGAGAATAGCAATTACGTATCACTGAAATTAGTTCCTTTATACTAAAATGAGGTCTGCCTCGAGGGAAAAATCATCCACGTAGCATGATGTTATCTTAAGGCTTCCGTTTCAATAACCTGTGAGCTGCATAAATGCTCACTCCAGTAAGGTTGCTGGTATACTGTAAACAGCGAATTTGCATTTCGGTATGAAAGTGTTGCATTTTTCAGTTAGGAAGAGAGCCAGCTAGCCATTCAGCTAGAGTGACAGACAGACAGGAAGACAGAAGGACAGATATTTACTTCCAAGGTCACCTTGGCATCTCTGATAAACTGAACCTTTGTTCATGTCAAATGACTGTTTGCCACCATCTTCTAGTGAGAAATTGTCAAAGTTAACAGAACACTTACAGTTGCACTCTGCATTGCACTGAACCATTCTCTTGGTTGAAATTCAGCGACCCTATCTCTCCCTCATTCATGCTTCTGCCAAAAGGAAGACAGGTACTGTCAAAGCTTTGAAAATATTGAAGTAGTCTTCATGTCTTAATGTTTTTGTTTTTGTTTTTTTTTTTCTGCAAGCTGTGCATTAAGGATTGTTTTTAATACTTGCATTTTGGTGGAAAGGCCTTCGATGCCCTCAAATGACTCTAGATGTACTGCTTTCATTGCTGTGCGAATCAGATATCTAAAAAAGAGATTGAAAAAATTTGTTTCTAAAACATTAAATTGTAATGATGTAAATAAAATTTTGATTTATAGTAAACTGGAACAAAACCAGAATGTCCTAAGATCACTTCAATGTTTGAGAAAAGGCCACCTGAAATTATAAGGTAAGAGATAAATTGAAGGATGGGTGGAAAAGAGAATTGATGGTAAAATAAATAAATCAATGGTCTGGATTAACAGACAGACGAGCTGACAGATAGATGGAGGGAAGGATATATAGGAAAATTCAAGGAAATATGGAGGGATAGATGAATGAATGTAAGGACAGAGGATGTATATTGGTGGATGGATAGATATGAAATAAGAAATTTGTCAAAACTTACATCCTCATACTTGAATTGCTTAAAACGAAAGCCTTAGATCCAATGAGCTCTATTTTGTTTTCTGAAAGCATTCTGGAGAAAGTACACACGTTAAATAATGAAAAAGCGAGAAATACAAGATGTATTGAAAATAGTAATGATGTCTTAAACTTACAAGACTTTAAGCTTCTGTAAACTTTTAAAGGCTCGATTTGGAATGTGGGTAAGGCGATTATCATTCAATAATCTGAAAGTTGAAAACATCAACGTGATCTTTAGGAATTGAAGTCATTCCAGATTTGAAATAAAAAAAGTGATAATCATAATATTTAACTTACAAATACTGGAGATCGGTGAGATTGGAGAAAGTCTGACTTGATATGGAACTGATATTATTTTGTGGCAATGACCTGTAACATAGTGTAAGGCAAAAAGTGAACAATTTTGCCACTGTAACAAAACATGAGGAAATTGCAAGGCCGTTAAATAATTGTAGGAAAACATTGTCGACTCGATTTGTTTCATGGTCGAGTCTAAGGAAACCACTTCGACACTAGACAAAACTGATTGAGTTAAAATTAAGTATGAGTTGAATAACTTCTCCACCATCTGCAAGACGGTTGTTTGTGACCTTCATTTTTCATCTCAACCTTTTCTTTTTACAGAAATTTGCAATAAGGGCAAATGAAATTTGCTTTAGACTCGATGAAATCATGACTTGTAAACAAAGCTGTTGCATACTAATACTCACAGTAGTTTGAGTCTATTGAGATTGCCTAACAATCTCTCAGGAATTTGGTCGATCTTGTTTCTTGACATGTCTCTAAAGAATGATTTCAAACATCGTATGATTTCATAAAATTATATTTTATATTCATATTTACTAAAAAAATTTACAGTAACACAATAAGAGATACTGCTTTGCAAAATTTTATTATTTCTGTCGTACTTTTCCCAACCAATCCTCTTCCTTTCATAGCATTGCTGAGCTCTACCTTTACATAATTTAGACCGCTGTCTTAACAATAAACTCGGGAGGCTCAGATAAAGAAGTCAACAATGAATTCTTTGAGGCTGAACTTGGCAGTCGTTCGCCGAGGACCACTGCAGTGACGATCAGATCACCTTCACGACTCAAAGATCGGGATCGAAATCAGGATCACTTTCACTGCTAACATCACGGAAACAACTTTGAGGATATTCATCACGACCTCTATCACTTCAAGTTCTCGTTCAGGTTCACTTTTACGTACTTTATGAAGGGAAAGCATAATCGACAGTAACTCACAATTGCAGTAGGTTCTTCATTGCCCCAATGTTTTCAGGAATGGCTGTAAATTGATTGTTTTCCAGTGCTCTGCCAACAACAGATCTCCGTGAATAAACACTCAATAATCAAGAATATTCATTACTTCAATTCCTCACTAATCAAATGAAATGGATTAGTTAGTATATCTAATGTACATGAGAACATGAATTTTAACTATAAGAGCAGTAAGCCCAAGGATTGCCTTAAATAAAAACATGAAGAAAAATGGAGAATTTTCAAGAAACAATGGAGAGAAAGAATTTACTGGAAAAAGCATTCACGCCTATTGAAACTACGTCATCGCCTTAAAAAGGTTACAAAGCTTAAATTTAATGGTAGAAGCACGAGTATCTAAGCGTTTATTAGTTGAAGTTGCCAAATGGAACAAATATTCACAGTTAAATGAAATGTAAATCGATCGCTTTTTCAGACAACAAGCTTAGGGTAGTTGGAAGGGGGAACTCAGTTTACTCACAAGATCAGTATTGACGAAAGGTTACTTGAGATTGGGTCTGGAATGGCCGTCAAGTAGTTGTCACCCAACTCCCTATTTTTTGAGATGAAATCAAACAGGACAACATTTAGTAATGAGCATCAATTAAAGAAAAAAGATAAAGGTTAAACACCTTTTACCATACGGCGTGAGCAAGGTCTCCATCAAACCGCTCAAATTTCTATGGATTTATTTTTGACGAAGTATGGTAAGCCATACGATACAATTCCATGCACCTGTCTTAGTATTTTCGTAATGATAATACAATAAACAAAGGAATGTTTTAATGAAATTCCCTTCATAAAAGAACTCTTTGTGCACTCACAATGTCTTGAGCTTAGGGCAATTTCGAAGAAGGCCATCCGGAATAAAAGAGATGTTGTTATTTGACAAATGCCTAAAAAAAACAAATACAATGTCATCTACTTAGCGCTATATAACCCTATATACTATAAAATCAGTAGGTAGATTCTCCAAGTTGTTCTCTATATACCACCTAAGGTGCTAAAAAGGAGAGATGGTCAGCAATCAAGAGCTTCTCTAGTTGGAGATCATTTAACTGATGGCTTGTGGCAGACGCATCTATTTTCATAACTTGGAAATATCTGAAACCAGGAGAGAGCAGGCCCAGCTTGTTGCGTATCGCCAAGCTCAGTATCTAGTTCTTTGCAGCTCAGAATGAAGGCATCAGTTGACTATTTGTAACGTCTCAAGAAAAATACACAGAATTTACCAGTTAAGAGCTGGTTTTGTCGCCTTACCCGACCGGCTCTTCATGTTGATAACCATATCAAGAATCATACTTACAAATTTCTCAATCTTTTAAGATTCTTAAAGCTGTCCCTCGGGATGTGCGCAATTTTATTGCTTTGAAGCGTTCTAGCAGGTAAAAAAGTGATATTTATGATAAATAAATATTCTGTCGCACAATCACTTACGGAGTTCTAAGTTCAAACTCGGCTTAGTTACGTCTTTTGTAACGCAACAATTTTTTTTATTGCGTTTGGTTTTTATTAACTTTTTTTTTTTTTGGCTTATGTTTTTTTCCTAATATATTAATTAGAAAAGATATTGGACCAAAAAAATGTATACAAATGTGACGATGAATATAAAGCAGCAAGAAACTTGGCTACATCCTTTAATTATTTTTACAATTTCTTGCAAACTTTTCATGATTATCGTTATTTTATTCAATTTTGCTTTCTCATTATTGTTATTATTATCATTATTATTGTTATTTCCAATATTATTACTATTATTATTATTATTATTATTATTATATATAATATATATTATATATAGTTTTTATATATAATGTTGAAAAACATATTGGATATTGAGATCATTTTAATTTTCGTTGCAAAAAAAACCACTCACAATGTTTGCAGGTTTGCCACCTCCTCAAAAATGTTTTCCTGTAAAGTTTGTATCGAGTTTCCACTCAGTTCCCTATAAGAAAAAAATATTAAGGATAGCCCTCTTAAATATGCTATGAAAAAACCATCTACGCCGTAAAATTCTAAACTGTCTTAAGAGGAAAACGAAACAAAGCAATAATCATGAACTGAACTCTATTACCTACTTCAGCCAATTACTTCGAGTGCAATTGGATGAGAAAACGCATTACTGACAGAAATTGTTAGAGCGCTTTTCGATGAGTGACGTAAATTCAAAACCAAAGTCAACACAACGGCCATTTAGAAGAAAGGAGAGTAACTTTAACAGCCAATGAGAACTCAGTTGAAGGTAAAACCAACCAAACTGTTTAAAACGCGGGCAACTAAGTTGTAATTGGTTGTAGTATTGTATCTAATTGGTTTAGAGAGTGGCGCAAGTTTTCTGTACCAATAGGAGAGAGAGAAATAAAGTAAAAACAAAGCAATCCCAATTTAATTTTGACACTTAATTGAACCGAATCCATCGAATGGGGTATACAGACTTACAAGTGTGATAGCAAAACTGTTCCATGAAATATTTCAACTGGTAATTCCTTGATCTTGTTATACGACAGATCCCTGAAAGATTTTCAATATTCAATTTAGGGAAAGAGCACTTGTTCTATACACCATTTCTGATTCTATGCAAAAGAAGTCGAACTAGAGGGCAAAAAACAGAAAAATGTAAAAAAGTAACCTTTCCCTTGAGGTATTTTTTATATCATCCAGTAATGTTACAAATTCGAGTGCACGAGAGGGATTATAAGCATATGAATTACACGGATGCAAATAAATTGGTTTCTACTTAAAACCCACGAATCATTTTTTTCCATTTCAACAAATTGTTCATATTTGGAGACATCCTTTGAAAATCTTACATCACTATTTGATATGTAAACAAGTTATTTACCAAACAGCTCCTCACTTATTCTAACCGAGTACTCTTGTGCAAAATAGAAGGACAAAGGAGCATCAGATCTCGGAACTTACAATGTTCTCAGTCGATTGAGATTTCTAAAAACTTCTGGTCGCAAGATGGACAGCGTGTTGCTATGCAGATTTCTGAAAAGGAATCAAAGCAACCCCAAATGGCTCACACAGAGTTTTACTCTAATGTAAGAAACAAGAAGGAAGAAAGAAAAATTTTTATTATCATGGTGAGATGCTCAAATACCATAGAGCATGATGATTTTAAATATATGAAATTCATATATTTGCACTGCGGTGAAAAGATTAAATTAAGAGATCCTCGCAGCTAAGAGCACTACTGAAACGAGTATTTGAAAATAGGACCTGAAAAAAATTCAGGCCCGTACGGGATTTGAACCCATAACCATAGAGCAGTCGAGCCGAGTGGCCCACTCATCTGAACTTACTCTGGTTTCCTTAGCATGAAGCGATAAGAGTATCACTCCCCCCCCTAGTTGGGATATTAGTCCATCGCATGGTTACCTCCAGCATTTCATCAGGCTTCCCTGACAATTAACAAGTACCCATTTATACTACTGGGTGGGGATAGGGACTGTGAGAGTCAAACACAACAAGTCTCGATCCCAGACCTCCTGCCCTGGAGTCCAGCAAATTAGCTATTAGGCTGTCTCACATATTCATTCAATTTTGAGGAGGGAGAGGGCTTAGGCCCGTCCAAAGCGTGCTGTTTAACAATGCAACAAAGTGGCGCTAAAATATTCAAAGTCGCTGATAAACTCACATATAAATCAGACACTTAAGGTTGTCAAATATGCCATCTGGAAGATCCTTTATCTGATTCCAATTGAAATCACTGAAAGAGACCAGAGGTAAAACGCTTAATAAATGAATCACAGAATAAGCCAAATGCAGTCATTACACTCCATTTAGCTATGAATCCTCACAATCTGCGCGCTTTCCACGCCTATTTTAAATTTTTCTTACACCAGCAAGATAAATATCAAAGTTATCTACTAGTTTTATCAGAATCAACACAGTAAGTTCATCTGGCTGCCCAAGAACTTCAAAACAAATGCACTAAAAAACATTTCCAACTTACATTCGCACAAGTGAAGTCAAGTTGAATAGGGACTCATTTGATAATTCTCTGATGGAGTTACGAGCAAGGTCCCTGGGGAATGGTAATTTATTATATATATTATTTATGACCCTCAAGTACAACAAGAAACAATGAAAAAAATATGAGAGTAAATACACTCGGTCTCATGATGACCCTCCCTCCCCACCCTTTTACAGGTCTATAAGGCAAATTAGAAATTAGCCCCCCGTTCGTAAACGAAGTGCTAAATCTCCTCATTAACTGGCTTCTGGCTATTCGTGTGGCAACTTTGTGAATGACTGACACCCAGAAGAAAAATAAAATTTACCTACGTGGATACAAGGCTTAAGAAAGTATTTAAGAACTGCAAGCCAGTGTGAAGAAAACGTAAGTGTGAATACCAGAGGAAGCCTCTTAAGTAAGTGGAAGGGGAGTTGGTCTGTCACCATATACTTTTGTAGGTAGCGTCGCAATTGCCGTATGAAATTAAGCCAAATTAAAAACAAATTTGGTTTATAGAAAACATCATCGGGCACCACCCTCCCCCCCCCTTCAAATTGAACGTTCTTCCTCCTAGGAGCGCCGTCCAATTTCGGCCGAAAGAATTAAAAAATTTGTGTCCCGGCTCTAAAATACTCTTCAATCAAAACGAAAGATTATTTCGCTGTTCTTACAGTTGCTGTAAGGTCATCAAGTTTGCAAATATTCTTCTTGGAAGCTTTTTAATCCTGTTGAGTCCCATTTTCCTGAAAAAGAAGATATACACTATTACAGAGAAAAAAAGAACTGGAAACAAACTCGCATTACGTTGAAAACAAAATATTATTTTATCGATCATAACCATTACAATTTCCTCTTATGTGATTGGTGCATCAGCTGCTTTGTTTTCTCTAATTATTCTGAAGAGTAGTACTCGGAAAGTTGGTTGAAGCAGCCAAACATACGACGTTCACTTAGCTACATCCACCAATCATAAGACTAATTACAATAACCATAGCAATAACCACTTACCTTAAAAAACTGAGTAATTTTCAAAAAAGTGGGGGAATTTAATACTATAGAAAATGTATTAACTGGAGATATTTTCTAAAATTTAAATAAATGTATCTTTTTTCGGAAATTGCAATGGTTATGATTGATTGGTAACAGGACTTCGTTTCGTCCAATTCATTCAGTCCTATTACCATTATTAATAAACTATATAGAGAAGCGCTGTAAGGAGTTAAATGGTTATGGCCTAGATTATCAAAACAGAAGTTTGAGTTTTGAAGTAAAGCAATTTCAATTTCTTTTATCTCTTCAATTTCCAGTTCACAAGGTTTCGTTAAGCGCATGATGATACCTTTAAACACATACAGTCCCTTTCAAACCTTATAAGTAATTGACGATTTTGATAAGTTTAAGAAAGAGTAGGCAGTAGAGATACTTACAGGATTTGCAAATTAGAAAGCGAATCAAAAACGCCCTCAGGTAGCTCTTCAATTTTGTTTTGCTGCAGGTACCTGCCATTATTGAAATGTAACACAAATAAAAGATTTCAAATATTGTTTCGAATTTTTCTTGGCTCTATATCGTAGATATAAGTTAAATACTTCTACTACTGCTAGTTATCACGATTACATCTTTTAAATCAAAGGTAAGTACGGTGAAAAAAACATTTCAAAAAATGAAACAAGCATTTTACTCACAATTCTCGGAGTTCTTCAAGATCACTGAACATGTCATTATTGAGCTCGTATAAGTGATTATCTCGAAGGTCTCTAAAGGGTGAAATGGGAATATTCTTTCCTCAGGAATATCTCTTTCATCATGTTACTATTAAGAAGTATAAATTATTTTGTCACTTCCTTCCTTTTACAAGAGGTACCTTTTATTTCCAATTTTCGGTCGCAAGAATAAAATTTTCTATTAGCTTTACAAAACGTTTTCCAATTGTTGTATTTTGCAGTGAAAATTATCAATAGCCACAGAGTGTCTTTATATACTTACAATATCTTCAACGAATCCATGTTTTGAAATATATTTTCTGGAAGATTATAAACCTTCAGTTTTCTTAGGACCCTTGAAGAAACAAAGTTAGAAATTTCAGTATTTTGGCTATTTTTTTTACATTCCCGTTACTTTTGAATTTAAAGCTTAAAGATAAAAAGTAACTTAATTGGCATTATGCAGTAGATAGGATAAGAGTCGAAGACATATCATTCAAACGGAAACAATTCGTTGCCATAGTTTAGGTACATAACTATTTTTATGCACGTTTACATCTTCAAAATAAAGATTATGGCTGCATCTTAACAAATCTCCATCTCCAATACCAATCTGTGTTATTTTCGTCTGTCCTTCTGCATCTCCTCTTTTGTCTTGCCTGCACAGCTGGTAATTCAGGGTTAATTTTGCGGGTCGCAAAAAACGAGTGAAAATTTTATAGCACAGCTCCCATTAGCCGTTTTCAGCTGTTTGGTAGATATTTTTAAAATAATAGGCTGTAATTCCATTATCACATGAACATCAGTTTAGAAATTGACGTTCAGAATTAGCTTGGATCTTATTGCACCCGATGACTGAAAGGAAACCCAAAGATCAATAAAGAATAAATAATGAAAGCTATTTCAATTTATATCTTCAGTCGCCATTGAAAAAAAAAATAATTTGAACGAGATGCTGTGATCGAAAGCGACGAAGGACCTCGTTCTTTGCGATGGTGACGATAGCAGCAATCGAAAGACAGACAGTCAGAAAGACATCAGAAGACACATGACTGACACATAATTCTTATCATCCACGTTATCAACTCGGAGAAGGGATTTATTTCTGATCAAAGTTAAAAATATTCTTAAGAAATAGATTCTGTGTTGCCGTGAGTCTGTTCAGTAATAGATCACAGATGATGAAAAAATGTGGTTAGAACGAAAAGAGGCAAACGAGGCACAACCAAGTGTGTCACCGACGTTGTCCATGGAGACATCACCAATGCCACCACAGCTCCTATAATAGATTACACGCAGGACCCAATGAAAATGTGTGTATCAAATCATTCGGTCTATTTCATAGTAATACTTACAAGTCCACGGTAGTTGTTGGGATGCATTTCAAGATTCTGTCAAGAGGTGACGCATTGTGGCAATTGAAGTCATTCCGTGCTGCTCCATCTTCTAGGTGGCCATGACCGGTGCATTGGCTGTCACAGTCTTTTACCACCAAAGAAAATAGAAGCATTTATCGTATATTCAAAAGAAGTATCTCGTTCTTGATCGGCAATGCATATGTTGGTTATAGATTGCTTACAGGATTTCTGTATTGCACCCGCTCATAATGTAATCTTTTATGGATAAATTAACCATGTTAGATTCTGCAATAATTCGAAAATTATTGCAAATGGTTAATCTGTTACAAGATTTTTAATGAAGTGATAAATCCAAAGAAACACAAGCATTTAAAAGTCCCGTCGAAGTTCACTTTTTTCCTGTGATCTCATATATGAGTTGGAATGATTCGGTATGAGAACAGTACCTCTTTCTTCGTTTATTTCATTTTATTTCTTGGATCGCTCGGTAGTTGCACTAGAGGTCGTGATATGTAAATGTTGTCTTCTTTCATATAGAGAGACTGCGCTAGGATTCGTAATATTTTTCACATTCTTTTCTCGAGGCAAGGCTTTCTTATAATGGATCAATGCCAGTGTCTGGGAAACTGTGCATTCCCCCCTCCCACTCCCACCCAGCCCAACTTTCTATCCCGAAGGGGTTATTAATCAACAAAGTGTTCTTACTTGCTGTTAAAGAGACTTGTATTTCTTTTGAATCAATTCCGGCTTGATTTTTTGCAGTGCAAGTGTATGTTCCCTCGTCATAAACTCTGATCAAGGCATAGCCACTGCTAGTCACCAATACTTCATCGTTGTTTGTTATCGTTATGTCCACAGAGGGTGTACCCACGGCTGAACACCACAACCAATGTCCAGACAGAGCCCTTACAGTAGAGGCTGGTATCTTCACTGTTGGCTTTTCTAAAAAAAAAGAGAGAGAACTTTGTGGAAAAATTGGTGATAAAGAAATGGGAAAAAGTGACATTAATAGGCCGGAATGCGGGCCATTCAATGCCATTGGCAGCATCAAGGAACGCATAGCATCACCATTGAATTGTGTTCATATGGCACACATACATTTATATTTCACTCGAATTTTAAAGAAAAAGCGTGCACTGACTTCTCCCGCCATCACTTCTCGTACTTGGACCATAAACCTTTTGAAAGGTATTATCATATAGAGCACAATCCGCTAAAAGAGAGTCAGAAATCATGAATATCCTCATAAATCCAAACCGAAACAAATTATGCCAGGGCAGTCAAAGGACGTTCTCTACATGCTCACAAGGTGGATGTAACTTAATATTATATAAATTGCGAAGAAAGTTATGAGACATAGATACACCTACTGAAATGTTAACTGAAGATAACGACATGAGACTTCAAAGGAATTACCGCCTTCTTATTAGAGGCAGCTATTTAAATAGCCCTGCGGTAACTGAAAGGTTCCTTGTGGCATTATTGATACTAAAGACGTTTGGTAATAAGAAATCATTCATACTAGAAGCTGCACAGAGAGAAACAATCTTTTTTTAATATTAAATGTTAAGTGGAATTTGAAGCCTCTAGGAAACTTTATTAACTGTCTCAGTTTGTTTAAAACTAAATTTGTGTAGTAAACTGGTACGGAACCAGTGCGTGGTATTTCAATGTCTTTATCTAACAACAGGAAGTCAGGTTTGCTGTTTGCTCTTTACCTGCAGTGGTAGTTGAGATGAAAGATCCTTCAAAATTACAAAGGAGAACATCGGTGTCCAAAAATAGGCGAAGGAAAAGATGGCGATCACTCGAGTTCAAAGAAAATGAACGTTTAGTGCCGCGAAAAATCCCAAGTGAATTGCTTTTGTCGTCGACTCCGTCCCAAACTTGCAGTCGAGTTTCGATTTGTCTACCAAATTCATCTTTATAATACAACTGGAATGTTTCAAATGTTAAGACGATTTTATGATTGACGGGCGCTGTTATCAACCAGCTACAAGTGTTGTTGGCAAAGAATCGAGGGGTGAGGATTGTTCCCCGTTTGCCTTCAACTTGGTAAGAACATGATGAAGA